CTGTCGGACGAAGATACTCTCGGTCAAGTTCTTCTCGAGGTTTTTGCGGTAACTTCACACCCAGAGTACCCTCACTCGCTTGTTCACATGCTGTTGCGAGTGTGTCGTCGTTTTCAGCCGGTTCGGAATCGGCGAAATCGGGCCTGTTGACAGCTTCTACGAAAAAGGCGGGTTCGTGGCGGGGGGAGGCGTCGATACGTCGTGGTCGGATTTTGCCTGTCAAGGGATTGGCTGGCACGACTAGCCGAAGGGTGCAGGGGGACACGATCCCCTTGCGGCGGTGTTTTGGCCACATGCCAACACCAATGGCAAGCCCGACCCCCCCTTGCTATGTTTCTGCTTTTTTGCCTGTTCGACAAGGGATGTGCCGGGACCTCTGTAGATCGATTTGACCGTAGGCGAACACTCGCTACGGATGCATTTTTGTTGTTTTTTTTCAGATGGGTGAGCGGGAGGTGGGCGATTTGGATTTGCTTTTTCCTTTGGTTTGGGCTTGTCGCTCTGCTGGTCCAGGTACGTGTATAGTCGCCAAACCAAACACCTGACCTGTCCTGTCCATTTTTCTTCATTTCTTCCTTGTTCCATCCTTTCTCACTCGATTTCGCCCCCCCCCCTTCCCTCGCCTTGTTCCATGCCCTGTCCACATCCTTCTCAAACGAGAAAGCAAGAGAACGATGAGAAGGAGAGGTGAGAGGGACGAAAAAGGCAAGGAAATGAAGATTTCGCCCTGCCCTCTCTGTCACTTTTCTCACCCGCTTTCACCCCTTCCCTCTCATCACTCCATGCTCTATGCTAAGAAAGGAATAGGAGAGGAAGAGAGGAGTGGGAGGAAGAAGATTGGAGTGTGTGGAAAGAGGCAGTGCGGGACCATGTCCAGAACAGGACCCATCGTTTGTACAGGGTCCGCCTCGTAAAGTCAGAAAGGATGAGCAATTGAACAGAAAACGCCGGGGAGCACCGGAGTGAGAGAGATGGAGACAGATAGAGAAGCAAAGAGAAGGAGACAACAATTAGGGAGAAGAGGAAGAAGGAAGACAGTGGAAGAGCGACAGATAGGGGAACAGGGTGAAGGAAACAAAAACAATGAAGGAGAGGAAGAAGGAAGCGATGGTGAAAAGAGGGCCGCTTGGAGAACAAAAAGGGGTCAAGCAGGACACTTGTTTTTGTTATCCACTGTTCCTTTTCCTCACCCCTTACACTTATGTCCCGAGCATTGGTCACGCCTTTCTTCCACGGTCTTTGTCCTTCATTTCTCCTCTCTATCTCTCTATCTTCCCTCTAGCTCTCCTTCCTTTCTTTTCCATGTTCGTTCTCCTCCTTGACCCCGCTCTCGCTTTTCTCGTGTCCAGCCCATGAGCCTTTCCTCTTCTGTTCCTTTTGCCATTAAGTAGGGAGATAGAAAAGGCAAGCTTAAGCAAGGAGAATGAAGGGCATTATAAGATTGCGGACTATGGTCTGTCTCTTTCTGCGAGGAAAGGAAGAGGTGAGGGGAGGGGAGGAGAGGCAATGTCTCATGTCGAGCTGGGAGGGAGGGTTGGATGCTACTGGAAGCTCTAGCCTCTAAAGGCCCCTGCATTCGGGAGGCCCCTGAGATATAGCAACATTGGGATGGGATAGGGTATCTCTCGCTTCCTCTTCTGAGCCATGTTTCCTCACCCCGACGGCGGAGTCCTCCACGTGGGCGAGGGAAGGGACTCAGCTAGGGGTAAGGTAGTGCCCCTACTGAGACCAACTCCATACACTGAGGGGTGTCACCTTTGTCACTTTGGTTGGTTACAGTTTGGTGGGCCTTTTATACTGATGGGGTGAGAGTGCCGCCAATTCTCTTAACGGCATCCGCACTCTTGCGGTCTTGCTCCACTGGTCCCGTGCCATTGGGTTTCTTTGTTCGGGGGAAGGTGTTGGGGGGGGTGCTCATGGAGTGCCTTCGCCGCCTTCTCTCGAAGCGGTGTCGTGTCGGGCAGCTTCCTGGGTGGGCTGTCGGACGAAGATACTCTCGGTCAAGTTCTTCTCGAGGTTTTTGCGGTAACTTCACACCCAGAGTACCCTCACTCGCTTGTTCACATGCTGTTGCGAGTGTGTCGTCGTTTTCAGCCGGTTCGGAATCGGCGAAATCGGGCCTGTTGACAGCTTCTACGAAAAAGGCGGGTTCGTGGCGGGGGGAGGCGTCGATACGTCGCGGTCGGATTTTGCCTGTCAAGGGATTGGCTGGCACGACTAGCCGAAGGGTGCAGGGGGACACGATCCCCTTGTGGCGGTGTTTTGGCCACATGCCAACACCAATGGCAAGCCCGACCCCCCCTTGCTATGTTTCTGCTTTTTTGCCTGTTCGACAAGGGATGTGCCGGGACCTCTGTAGATCGATTTGACCGTAGGCGAACACTCGCTACGGATGCATTTTTGTTGTTTTTTTTCAGATGGGTGAGCGGGAGGTGGGCGATTTGGATTTGCTTTTTCTCTTTGGTTTGGGCTTGTCGCTCTGCTGGTCCAGGTACGTGTATAGTCGCCAAACCAAACACCTGACCTGTCCTGTCCATTTTTCCTCATTTCTTCCTTGTTCCATCCTTTCTCACTCGATTTCGCCCCCCCCCCCCTTCCCTCGCCTTGTTCCATGCCCTGTCCACATCCTTCTCAAACGAGAAAGCAAGAGAACGATGAGAAGGAGAGGTGAGAGGGACGAAAAAGGCAAGGAAATGAAGATTTCGCCCTGCCCTCTCTGTCACTTTTCTCATCCGCTTTCACCCCTTCCCTCTCATCACTCCATGCTCTATGCTAAGAAAGGAATAGGAGAGGAAGAGAGGAGTGGGAGGAAGAAGATTGGCAGAGGAAAAAGGGACTTCTTCCCTTTCATTTAGCTTTGGCTTACGGTATCCCAAACACCAAAATACAGATGGGTCTTTGGGAGGGGGGCTTGAAAATTCTACAGACTTTAGCAGAGCATATGAAATATTGAACTACTGGACCCCAGGGCCGAGTAAGCGCTCCAGCTGCTTAATCGGGTTGACGATGCCGGGGAACTCTCCCCGAGAATCTTCAATCCTGATCCTTCGGCCTCAAGGCCGATTGAGCGCTCCGCCTGCTTAATCGGCCCTGGGTTTGAAGATTGAACATGCCCGGGAACTCTCCCCGGAGCACCTTCAATCCTGGATTCTCAACCCTGGGCCGACTAGGCAGATGAAGTGCTCAATCGGCAGGGGTCTGGGGTTGAAGATACTCCTGGCAGAGTTCCCCGGCATATTCAATCTTCAATCTTCAATCCAAGGGCCGATTAAGCAGCAGGTGGAGCGCTTAATCGGCCCTGTGTTTGAAGGTTGAAGATTGAAGATGCCCGGGAACTCTCCCCGGAGCATCTTCAATCCGGGGAGAGTTCCCCGGCGTCTTCAATCTTCAATCGTCAAACCCAGGGCCGATTAAGCACTGTCTTGGCCCCCCCTTCACAAAACATATTATCTCTACTTTGTTGTCCAGAAGCAGATGTTGGCGCGTAAGGCCTTTTCACACCCGAAAACATCTCTCAGTCAGCAAAACGCAAAGAGAAAGTACGTAGAATAGGTGCCCACATCAAGTGTGTATATAGGATAAATGTATGGCGTATCAAATACCGATAGCGGAGAACGAACCATGAGACTCAGAAGTATTCGAGCGCATAGGGTAATGCGGAAAATCATTTACTTTAAGCCCCAGGGACACGAGAATACTGTGAGCAAATGTCCTTTCGCGATTTCCTGAGACCTTCCAACAGGCTGCAAGTAATTGCTCGCAAGTATCTTGCTTTTTCATTCTCAATGCTTCCCACAGGTCTCCCATCATGGTTATCATTTGTCAAGGATGATGCTTATTCTCCAATTATCCGCAAGACCCACAGGCGCTTAAAGTCTTACGTAATACTCGTCCAAAGCAACAGGATATCACATCCTGACTACAAAAAGTATACGAAACCTTGGTTTATGTTGTGCGTCTCGTAAGAAGAAATGACATAGCGTGCTACGGGAACTGTGCTGTTAAGCCTTTATATAGCGAGGGTTTAGTGGTTTAGAGTTGAAGGGGAAGGCCAGAAAGTCTTTTCAGATGCCTCGCTGTTTTATTTTTTGTCACCGTGTTTTAGGCGGTTGTACGTCTCGTAGGAATAAATGGTTTCTGATATAGCATGCTACGGGAACTGTGCCGTTATATCTCAATGTACCGAGGGTTTAGGGTGGTTTAGAGTTGAGGGGGTAGGCCAGAAGGTTTTGTTTAGCTACTTTGCTGTTAGATTTTTGTTTTCATTCTTTTCACCTTTTCACCCTTATCTTATCTTCATCTCTTCTCTCTCTCTCTCTCTATCTTCTTCTGCTGGGCTTGCAGTTCTCCCTTCCTCTCTGTCATTTCTGCGTATTGTTCTTTCCGTTCTTGCTTCTCTTTCTATTTCTCCACTTTCCTTCCTCTCCTTCCTGCTTCTTAGCTTTCCACCAGAAAAAGAAAATGAAAGAACGGCAAGCTCGTCTTGGTTTATCACTGATCACCAATGAGACAGGAGAGAAGAACAAGGAATAGAGCAATGAAGTCGAGGAAGGGGCAGATGATGAGAGCGAGGGCGTCTTGCTTTCCCTGAGCTTTCGGTTCCTTTCATTTGTCCTTTCTTCTTATGAAGAGAAAAGGGAGAAGAGCAGAGGATGAAGGCAAGGGAAGAGAAAACGTGTGAGCCGAGCGAAAGAGGAGTTCTCCCTTCCTGTCCCCACCATCTGCCTTCATCCTATCTTTTCCTTTTTGTTCTCTGTTGTTGTTGAAAACCCTCCCGTCTCAGGTACCTTAGCTGCACATGTTCTTCGTTGCCTCTTTTCCAGAATGAGAGTTTGGAGTTGACTTAATTAAATCTTGATTTGTAATGTGCATCCATGCAAACCTGCAGGGCTCAGATCGCGACTAAAAGTCCGCAACATGGTAGTGCGGAGCTCTGGTTGAGTTCCTTTGGGAAACCTGAAAAGCACGTGAGCCGAAACCTTGTCACACCCAGTTTCAGAATGTCGGAGATGCAACAGCTCATCCAAGCGTTGCAATCTCAAACCCAGCAGCTGCTGCAACAGCAGCAGGAGTCCCACGAGCAGAGGATACAAGTGATGCAGCAAGCACTGACTGCGCAGCATCAGCATTTCACGCAAGCGCTAGGCAAGTTGAGTTCCTCTGGTGAGCAAAGACTGGGTAGCCTTGTAGACGTTCGCGGTGTTGGGCAGCCTGAAAAGTTGACGGACAAAGTAGCTGAAAAAGATTTCAGGGTTTGGAAGCTCAAGTACGTCAACTGGGTGCAAACCGCATTCAAGTCGGCCGAAAAGTTGCTGACGGATGTTCTTGACGACGAAACCTCAGTTGTAGATGCTGCACGTTTTCAGAGTTTGACCAGCAAACATCCGGATGCTGAGCGGATATCTGCCCATTTGAATGCAACTCTTCTCTCCGTTTGTGAAGGTAAAGCTTTTGCTGTTGTAGAGAAGAGTTTCAAAGGGCCGAGTGCTGGTTTGGACGCGTTTCGTCGCTTGTGTCATCGGTTTGATCCCCAGTCAGAGGAGACAGATCTTTCTTTGCTAACGCAGATAGTGAACCTGGGTCCTTTCTCCAGCACTAACCCTACGGAGATTCTTGCCGAGTTGGAGCGTAGGGAAGAAATGATGACCAAGCACGAAACACGCACGTTAGACACACTGTCTGATGGCTTCAAGCGCGTGATGCTGTTGAAGATGTTGGTAGATCCCTTGAAGACACACATGCAGTTGAACTTGAAAAGTTTCGACACGTATGAAAAGGCACGTGCGGAGGTTGTGCACTTTCTTGAACTGCAAGCTCAGACCCAACTAGCGTCGCAGTCCTCGCAGTCGCTTTCTTCATCCTCCACAGGGCCCGTGCCTATGGACATCGGTAGTCTCGCACAGCTTGGTGTCAAGTCTGTTGAGGAGTTGAGCTCTTTGCTTGCTTCCTTTTCCAAAGGAAAAGGAAAAGGTGCTCCGAACCCACATGGCAAGACTCCTAGTGGCAAAGGGAAGTCTCAGAAGTTTACTGGTAACTGCAACTTCTGTCATCGACAAGGCCACAAGGAGGCTGACTGTTGGGACAAGTACCCTGACAAAGCACCCAAAAGCAAAGGCAAGTCTAAGTCTAAATCTAAGTCTGCGAAGGGCAAGGACAAGAGCTTGAACACGTTGGATGAGTCCCCTCAGCAGCAAGAGCCGGTTGAAGCTGGCGGTTTTGAAGTAGACCTCGCGCACGTGGATGGTGACCATCAGTTTGTTGCTTCCCAGTCCTGGCACACTGTTCAGCAAGGTTGGTCGCGCGTGGAGCTCACTGTTGATTCCGGAGCCGGGTCTACTGCAATTCCGCCATGCATTGCGCCGAAAGAGCCTGTCCAAGTGAGTGAGACGAGCAAGCTTGGTCGGCAGTTTAAAACTGCAACTGGCCACACGGTTTCGGACCAAGGCTGTAAGAAGCTAAGGGCATTCACGGACTCTGGGGTAGCTGTTTCGTTTTCTTCCGCAGTGGCCGATATACACAAACCGCTGCTTGCTGTGTCGGATGTTTGTAGCAAAGGTGGCATCTGTCACTTCGAGGAAGGGAACAGCTACATCCAACCAAAGGGTTGTGGGAAGATCTGGATGGAAGAGACGAAGGGTCTTTACAAAGTTGGCGTGTGGCTGTCACCTTCCAGTGGCGGAGTCGCAAGCGTGGTTCCTTTAGCCCCCTTTAGTGAAGGTGGAGGGTCTGGATCTGGAGACTCTGCCCCTGTAGCGCCTGTGAGTGTAGGAGAGCACCAGGGTGTGCAAGGTGTTGTCGGTGTCGTTTCTGCTGAAGGGCAGGGTTTCCGGAGGCAGGTGGTGTCTTGGGGCACGACACTGTAAGTCCTCAAGACGACGAGCACGGAGATTCGGAGCATGCTGAAGCGCAAGCTGCTACAACTCCCAAATCTCCAGTTCTGCCCTCGGACTCGGAAGTCCGAGAGCATTGTCTCACTCATTTGCCTTTTCGTCCTTGGTGCCGCCATTGCATCCGGGGCAAAGCTCCAGCTTTGGCGCACAAAGAGCCTTCAAATACGGAGTACACCAAGCCGTTGGTGGCCATTGACTATTGCTTTTTGAGCAGCAGCGAGGGAAACGCGAGCGAAAGTCCTGTGATGGTTGTCAAATCCAAGCCCGACCTGGCTGTCTTTGCGCGCTTAGTTCCCTCAAAAGGCTGTGTGCATGAGTACAGTGTTCAAGCACTTGCTGACATTTTCCGTGTGCTAGGCTATCGCGAGTTTACACTCAAGACAGATGGCGAGCCTTCCTTGGTGGCATTAGCTCGTGCAGCAGTTGCCTTGCTTCCTGTGAGCACAGTCCCGTTGAAGAGAGCGAGGCCAACGGTTTTGTGGAGCGTGCCTGTAGAAGCGTGCAGGAACAAGCCCGCACATTGCTGAGTATGTTGCACGAACGTTTGCAGTGCGAGTTCCCGGCGAACCATGCCATTTTTCCTTGGTTAGTTCGGCATGCGTCGTGGTTGTTGCATCATTTTCACAGAACGGCATCTGGAAGGACTGCCTATCAGAACTTGAGAGGCAGACCCTGGCGAGAGCCAGTTTTTGAATTTGGTGCTGCAATAGTGTTTAAACTGAAAGCTGTAGCTGGCAAACTCGCGCCAAGATGGTCAGAGGGATGCTACCTTGGCACTTCCGACCTGACCACCGAACGATTTGTTTTGTGTTTTGAGACCATGAAAGTAGTCAAAGTGTGGAGCGTAAGAGCTTCACACGAGACTCAGTTGTGGCCCCACAAAGAGAAGCTTTTGTCCATGAGGGCTACACCGTGGGGGTTGAACGCCGAAGGCGGTGAAGCCCCGCAAGTTGTTGTTCCTGAAATGCCTCCACAAGGTCTGCCAGTGCCGTTCGTGGTTAATGCCCACCGTGCTCCCAGGAGGGCAGCCATCCGTATGTCTGACGCCTTAAAGTTCGGTTTCACTCCACTTTGCGATGGGTGTGATAAGTTAAGGCGTGGCCTCTATGGCAAGCATAGTGAGGAGTGTAGGGCCAGGTTTGAAGCAGCATGGAAAGCCAGCGGAGATGAAGAACTGGTTTCCAAAGTCACTTCTGCAGACGGAAGACGTGACAAATGGCTGGCCCGACAGGTGGAGAAGTATGACGAGGAACAGAAAGCCGTGAAGCGAGCCAGATTGGAGCAACAACCTGGTGATGTGGCAGTGGCAGCTGAGTCAAGTGCAGCAGTGGACTCTGCTCAGGAGGCAAGGTCCCCATCATCCAAACGGCCTGCCGAGCAGCCGCCTGAAGCCATGGATGAGAGACGGACTGCAGAACCTGAGAGCTTGGGTCCGGAAGCTCAGACAGCGATGACGGATTCTTTCGAGAGCATGCTGCAAGAGGCCATCCTGAGTCATCGGAGCGAAGTATTCTCAATGGATGCTGCGGTTCAGGAGCCCATTTGCGATGAACCCAGTTTGTGTGAACAGAGTCATAGCAAAGATTGCTGGGACGAGTACTTCGATGACGTCAGTGGCTTAGGACTCAACTCTCGCTTGGTAGAGATTGCGAAAAAGGAGGAGCTGCGCATAGCTGACGAGATGGGCTTGTGGACGCCTGTTCTGAGGTCAGAACTGCCAAGTGGGACCAAAGTCATACCTACAAGGTGGGTGCTGGTCAACAAAGGTGATTCCAAATCGCCCAGTTACCGCGCCAGGATTGTGGCGAAAGAAGTTAAGGGACACAAGCCATCTGAGGTTGGTTTCTATGCGTCGACGCCGCCAACAGAAAGCTTGCGAGCACTCATTGCTGTAGCCTCTACTAACCCGGAGTATGTCATGGATTTCGTTGATATTAGCCGTGCACATTGGTGCGCAGACGCCACCAGGTATGTTGTCGTAGAGCTGCCGCCCGAAATGGAAATGCCTGAACATGTCGCTGTTTTGAAGAAGAGTATGTATGGCACAAGAGATGCGGCCCACAACTGGGAGCAACAGTATACCAAGGTGCTTCTCTCACTTGGGTTTTTACAGGGGCGCGCATCCAGTTGCTTGTTTTATCATCCGCACAAAGACATTCGACTTGAAGTTCACGGTGATGACTTCGTGTCTGTGGCGAGAGCTCTAGACATCAAGTGGCTGCATGAGCGTTTTCGAGAAATGTGGAAGTGCAAGTTTTGCGCGACACTTTCAAGTCCAGGACAAAGTGTTCGAATCCTTGGCCGCTTGCTGTCTCGTGAGAATTCTGGCTACTCCCTAGAAGCGGATCCTCGTCACGCAGAGATCTTGATCAGCAGCTTGGGCCTGAAGAATGCCAAAGGCTTGAGCACGCCAGGCGTGAAGCTGCAACCCGAAGAGGAAGCAGAGCTGACGCAGAAGCGGCTCTCACCTGCAGATACCACTCTGTTCAGGTCTTGTGTCATGAGAGCAGCCTATATGTGTTCTGAAAGGCCTGACTGCCAGTACTGTGTGAAGGAACTCGCTCGCGAAATGTCATCCCCGACAGAAGCATCAATGAGAAGATTGCGCAGGCTTGGTCGTTACTTGATCTCGCATCGCCGTATGCTCTTGTGGTTCGAATGGCAAGACATGCCAAGAGACCTGGTTGCAGAGGTTGATGCTGATTTCGCAGGGTGTGGCAAGACTCGGAAATCCACTAGTGGTGGTGCCGTGTTTTTCGGAAGTAGCCCTTTGAGGAGCTACTCTTCGAACCAAGCGGTGATCGCCTTGTCAACTGGAGAATCCGAGTTTTACGGCATGCTGAAGGGATGCAGTCAAGCCATGGGTTTGAGAAGTCTCTTCGCAGATATCGGCGTTGAAGTCGGTATCCGATTGTGCACAGACAGCTCTGCCGGGAAGGCGTTGGCAGAAAAGAAGGGACTGGGCCGGGCGAAGCATCTGGAGACCCAGTATCTTTGGTTGCAGGACAGAGTAGCCAACAAAGATGTAAAAGTGTTTAAAATATGTACAGATGTGAACAGGGCTGACATGTTCACAAAGCATTTGCATGAAGCTCGCGCTTCTGCGTTGTTGTCGGCCATGAACTGTCGGTTCTCGACAGGCAATCACTCACTTGCGTTGGCTGTGACTTGAAGCCACTGCTAGTGCCCCGCATGTGTTTTCGAAATTCACAAAGCAAGTAAGCCGTTTGAAGAGCCCTTGGGCCGCAGTAAGTGTGAGCCCAACATCTGTGATGTCAACTCTCGCCGGGCAACAATGTAACAAATTTGACTTGTAATGATTTGTAAAGTGCTTCTACTGAGCCGGGTGTGCTGAAGCTCGCCCGCGTGTAGACCACTTGGGCTCGGGAGGCATGTTGAAAACCCTCCCGTCTCAGGTACCTTAGCTGCACATGTTCTTCGTTGCCTCTTTTCCAGAATGAGAGTTTGGAGTTGACTTAATTAAATCTTGATTTGTAATGTGCATCCATGCAAACCTGCAGGGCTCAGATCGCGACTAAAAGTCCGCAACAGTTGTCCTTATTCTCCGCAGAAAGTTTTGGAAAGGAGGGGAGGAAGGAAAGAGGGGAGGGGAGGGATGAGAGAGCAAGAGATGGCAGACAGAGAGAGAGAGAGAGAGAGAGAGAGAGAGAGAGAGAGAGAGAGAGAGAGAGAGAGAGAGAGAGAGAGAGAGAGAGAGAGAGAGAGAGAGAGAGAGAGAGAGAGAGAGAGAGAGAGAGAGCGAGACAGAGCGAAGAAGAGAGAGAGAGAGAGGGAGATTAACAAAAGAAAAATCTTGAGAGGGAAGGAAAGGAGAGATAAACACATCGAGATGAAGTGGTGTTTTCCCTTTCCCCTTCCTTGGTGTTATATCAGGTAAACAAAAACAATACTAATAGGAAAAGGCTAAAAGCGGCTGAAACAACAATATGGTCATGGGAATATTTATCAACAAAAGAGTATATTATCGTCTTAATTGAAGCAACACACTTGAAGGCGCTCAGGGTTTGTCATTTCCAGCAGCTCCTGTAGTTAGCGTTATTTATGTTATTATTGATTTTTTTAAAGTAGTATATTTATCGCAAACACCAGACCCTTAGACGAGGGTTGAATGGAAAACGGAATGAGAGGTAGGTGGCGAAGCCCTAGGAAAATAAGAGATGTGATGCCAAACATGGGAGCCCTGAGCCGTGAACCGAACTAGCCCTAAGCCATAAATTTTGCCTTAAACCTAAACCCCACAAATTGTATGTGTGAATTGAACCGTTTAAATAGCAAACAAAAAGGAAGTGCCAAATAGACCCTAAAGGTCCATGCCACTTAGGGGTTTAGGGTTTAGGGGTTTAGGGTTTAGGGTTAATGGTGTCGGATTTAGGGATTAGGGCTTAGGATTTAGGATTTAGGGTATCGCACCCTGCATCCCCAAACCCAAAACACAACCCAAAAGCTTCCAAACACCCTAAACCCTAAACCCTAAACCCTTAAACGCCCTTGAATCCATGGCAACCCCCATACATTGGGACCCAGTGGGGGCCCTCACTCCCCTCTTTGCTTGGTGGGTCAGGTTCCTTCATAGACCCCTCCAACAAAGGGGTTAGGGTTTTAGGGTCTAGGGTTTAGGGTTTAGGGAAAGTGTAGGGTTTAGAGTTTAGGGAAAGTTTAGGGTTTAGGGTTTAGGGTTTAGGTTTAGGGTTTAGGTTTAGGGTTTAGGGTGTAGAGTCTGGAAACCCGAAAGCCCCTAAACCCCCGAAGCCAAAAGAACCGGCCAGGCTCTCTGAGAAGATTGAGCTCCGGGCCATGGGGCGAAGGTGCACCTCCATACTCATTTTTATGAAAATCAAAGCCCTAAATACCCTAAACCCTAAACCCTAAACCATAAACCCTAACCCTAGACCCTAATCCCTAAACCCTGAACCTTAAGGTTTAGGGTGTAAGGGTCTAGGTTTGTTGAGACTGACTTGGGGCTTCATGGAGTCAGGGTGGGCTTGGGATCACCCCCAAACCAGCAGCTGCCGGAACCTCTCATATCGCCCCGAAACCTTTAAACAGCTCACCAGGATGGGGCTATTAGGCCTTATAATCCTCAAAACTTAAACCTACAAAGTGGCCTTTTGAAGGGGTGATAGGGGAATACTAGCCCATCCTGGTAACAGAGCCTCCAAAGGCCCTGAACCCTAAACCCTAAACCCTAAACCCTAAACCCTAAACCCTAAACCCTAAACCCTAAACCCTAAACCCTAAACCCTAAACCCTAAACCCTAAACCCTAAACCTAAACCCTAAACCCTAAACCCTAAACCCTAAACCCTAAACGCCCCCTAAAAGGCCTCCGAAAGCTCCAAGAGCGCCAAAGCTCCGAAGGAGCCTCAAAGGCCTTAAACAAGAACATTTCCCTGAGCTCCAAAGCCCCGAAAGCCCTGAAATCCGAACAAGCCCTCAGAACCCCAAACCCTAAACCCTACACCCTAAACCCTAAACCCTAAACCCTAAACCCTAAACCCTAAACCCTAAACCCTAAACCCTAAACCCTAAACCCTAAACCCTAAACCCAAAGAAGCCCCACGACTCATGACTTGACCAGGATTCCCTTCGGCTTGTCGGGCCCTGGCTCGCAGGACGTGGCGAGTTTTGCTCGTAGGTTGAGAGGTAGGGGGGTGGGGTTCGGGGGTTTAGGGTTCAGGGTTTAGGGTTTCGGATTTAGGGTTTGGGTTTAGGGTTTAGGGGTTTAGGGTTTAGGGTTCAGGAGTTTAGGGGTTTAGGGGTTCAGGGGTTTCGGAGAGGGCTTGCCCTTACGTTGAGGGAGGGGGGCTTTATTAGGTCACAGGGCTTAGGATTGCCCGTATCAAGGGGCTTTACCTTCGCCGCAGCCCCTAAGGTGGTATCCTTGCGATTGGGAATCCTTTTCTAAGATCCCGAAGGGAAAATAAGGACCAAGCCCATAGAGGTAACAACCTGAGGGGCACGAGTCTTAACCCCTTGATTGTATAAGCTCCACTGAGAATTCGAATAGGTACCTTGGGGAAGCTTAGTTAGCTTTATTATTTCGCGCTTGTCAAGCCGTCTGGGAACATTCTAGTTGTGGTTGGGGTTGGCAAGCAATGAGAAGGGAACAGGAGCAGTGTGAAGCTTCGTTTGCGTAAGTACGACATGTGCGGAACGAAGGGGGTGTTTCGGGGAGCACTGCAGTGGGTTTTTTCCAGGGTTACCCACTCTCCTCAGTTTTGGGGAACCTCGTAGCCGACCCTAAACCCTAAACCCTAAACCCTAAACCCTAAACCCTAAACCCTAAACCCTAAACCCTAAACCCTAAGCCCTAAGCCCTAAACCCTAAACCCTAAACCCTAAACCCCACACCCTCAGCATGCCTCTGACCGGGAACTTGAAAGTCCACTCCTCAGCTCAAGCAAGGCGGGGATGGTGTAGGGCTTTAGGGCTTACAGGGTTCTAGGATGCCCAGTAGTACCCTTATTCCCTTTTTGGGTAGGTTTAGGTTCCCTTCTAACCCCCTTAAGCAAAAAAGGGGGCACCCTTTTTCATCCTAGGTTACTGGGCAACCTAGGGTTTCGGGTTTTGGGTGAAGGGTTGAGGGTTTAGGACAGGGTTTAGGGTGGATAGCTAGAGGGTTCAGGGCTCAGAGTGTACCCAAGCCTTGGAGCTGTCATGGGCCAGACCATGCCATGAGTTACCTTCCAAAGCCCTCAACTCCAAGCCCTACATGAATGGCTGTTAAGATTAGGATCCCTTTTGGGGTAACCCTACATATAAGGTGCTGCATGATAATAGGGATCCAAGAAGGGACCATGATTTTGACAAGCACCCAAATGGAACCCCTAAAGGCTACGGGGACCTCCCGTCCCATCAGAGGCTTGGGGGAGGGGTTACGCAGTCATCACAGGCCTCCTACATCCTGAAGGGTACTACGTTGGGGACTTTAAGTGAACCGGGTATGGAACCCTACCCACGCCGAGAAGAAACCTTAAGCCGAAACCATAACCCTAAACCCTAAACCCTAAACCCTAAACCATTGAAGTTGCTACTCCCGGTTGTCTTTTTGAAGCTGTGCATGTCAATTGGCGCCATGGCGAGCAGACGCGAGTTGGACCTCCTTGCCAGGCATCGCATGCTTGCTGGGCGGGCCTAAACCCTAAACCCTAAACCCTAAACCCCCAAACATTGTAGACATAGTTATAAGAGCAGGTTGGGTTGTAGGTACTTCCTCGGAGGTAATAACCACTCATTCTTGTAGTAAGCATGTTAAAGGGTCCCTGAACCTTAAAACCCTAAATCCGAAGCCTAAGTATAGCGTAGAGAGTGTAGCAAGGGGGGGGGGGGGGGGGGGGCTCACTGCATAGCTCTGTTCAGAGCCATGGTGACCTCAGCCCGAAACCTTTCTCAGGGTTTGACGTGCAAGGTTTTCATCATTCGACCTTCAGCTTTTCCAGTTTTTCAGGCCATGGGTTTCTCGAGCCGGGAGCATTGAACTACCTTGTGTGCAAGGGCTTCGTCACAGTCCTTGCCACATTCATCAAGGGCACCTGACTGCCTGATCCTCATTGACAAATCTTGCCAGTAGCTGTAGCACGCCTAAACCCTGAATCCTGAATCAGGTACAAACTAGGGGTCGGAATAATTACTAATAGTATTCCCTCATGGCCCGGTTATAGATATAACATAATGACCCCCAAAACGCTGTTCTAATTGTTAAGGCCCTTTTATTAGTGAGGCTTAGGGAGTTCGGGCCGGTATCATGGGCCCTGGCACAAACCCTAAACCCTAAACCCTGAAGCACGAGGCAGGAAGACGACGCGGACAAAGACAGTCCCAACGAGCTCATCGCTCGGTTTCTGATCCGTGCTGCAGCTCGGCAAAACCCATAAACCCTAAGCCCCTAAACCCCCTAAACCCTAAACCCTCTCCAAAACCCTAAAGAGCTCCACTTTCCCAGCTCTCCATGAGGCCCTGCGGGCAGCCAGCGGACAGAGGCAGCTGAGGCGCATTGGCGAGACGAAAGCCAAAGATGCCTCTTAACTTAGGAGTTAGAGTTTACAGTGCTTAGGCTCTTTAGGGTTTAGGGGTTTAGGGGTTTAGGGGTTTAGGGTTTAGGGTTTAGGGTTTAGGGTTTAGGGTTTGCTTAGGCTCTTTAAGGTTGGGGTTTAGGTTCTCTAGGGTTTTGGGTATTTTAGGGTTTAGGGTTCTTTAGGGTTTAGGGTTCAGGGTTGAGGGGGGGTTTGGGTTGTTTGGGTTTATAGGGCAGAAGTATGGGCTTCGTAGGGCCTGTGGGGCTTACAGGGCCTGCATAGACCCCATACACCTACAATCCCTGAAGCCTAGACCTTCCTCTGAATTTCTGGGTTTAGCGTATTGGTTTTAAGTTTCGGGTTTAGGGATCAGGGCTGAGGGGTGGTAGGGAGACAGAGGGAGAGAGAGAGAGAGAGAGAGAGAGTGCAAGACTGAGAGATTGAAGGATTGAGAGATTGAGAGAGACTGAACGACACTGAGAGAGTGAGAGATTGAGAGATTGAGGGAGAGAGGGAGAGGGAGAGACGGTCTCAGAGTGAGCGAGAGGCGAGAGATTGATTGAGCAGACGCGGAGTGACTTGCGTGGCCGAATTTAGGGAGAGAGCCAGAGCGAGGCGCACGCTCGTCCTGGTCTGCGGGTACCCTCCCAAGGCACATTCGGGGCTCATGAGCTTGACTGGACAATTTGGGCTTGGCGGACTTTGAGGGCTTTGAGAATTTGTTTAGGGTTCGGATTGTTGGCTTTGGGGTTTTAAGTTGGCCCCTCAAGAGGGGCCCTGCTCTCGATCGGTCTTGCTGTTGCCGTCATACCACGCGTGCGAAGTGACGTCTGGGGGGGGGGGGGGCTAAATCCTAGGCCCCCGAACTTCCCCTGCCTTCCCTAACCTTAAACAGTAACCAGGATACATACACTCCAGTGGCTTTAGGGGTGCAGGGGCTTTAAGCATTGCAAAGCCTTGAACGCCTGCACGCTAGACCCTAGGCCCTAAACCTTTACTATGTTTTTGGCTTCAGACCGTTGTGCCCTAAACCTGTTTAACGCCTGCACCTAGACCCCTAAAACCTAAACCCTGAACCCTGAACTCTAGACCCTCCTAAACCCCAAACCCTAAACCCTACAGACCCTAAACTTAGCACGTTTCACGAGGCCGCCGCCGTCGACTCGGCCTTTTCGCGCTTCAGCCAGAGATCGGCATTCCGGCGGCAGGGTCTTGGGAGGGGTTTAGGGTTTAGGGCTAGCCCTAAACCCTAAACCCTAAACCCTAAACTCCGACATGCTCATCTTGAAACTTCCGAGGTATGCTTGCACCCCTACTGCTGCTCCGAAAGCCCGGACTCTGTGGCCGATCTCCTGGTGTCCAAGGGCTTCAAACCTTTAGGACAGGGTTTAGGGTTTGGGGTTTAGGGTTTGGGGTTTAGGGTTTAGGGTTTGGGGTTTGGGGTTCAGGGTTTAGGGTTGAGGGTTAAGAGGGGCTTTAGGGTTTAGAGTTAGAAGGGGCTTTAGGGTTGCGTAGGGTTGAGTTTTGGGTGATGGTTAGGGATTTGGGTGGCGCGGGAGCCCTCGGGTCGCGCTTGGGATAGAAAATGGATTGCATAGCTTGAGCTTCTTGCATTCAAGGTTTAGGGTTTGGGTTTAGGGTTTAGGGCTTTTTGGGTTTGGGTTTAGGATTTAGGGTTTAGGGTTTGGGGTTATCGGGCTTATTTTACGGCTTAGGGTTGGGGTTTCACGAATTTAGGGGTTCCTGGTTTGGGTTTTCAAGAGTACGGGCTAGAGTATGTTGTGTGTCAACGGCCACGAATATGAGTTGCCTGAATGGGGTTTAGGGTTTAGGGTTTAGGGTTTAGGGTTTAGGGTTTAGGGTTTAGGGTTTAGGGTTTAGGGTTTAGGGTTTAGGGTTTAGGAAGGACACAGCAGCACGCACCCCACATTCCACCCTGTTTGTTTACCTCGGTTGCTGTATTTAGTGCTTAGGGTGTTAGGGTCAAGATGCTTTTGAGATCACTTTCTGACCCCATTTAAATTCTAAGGTTTGCCTTCTGCTTTGTTTGTGTTGTTCTTGCCGTTTTCTGCAAGCCACAAAGATTTCTGGTCTCGTTTAAGGAACATACTTTAAATACATGTATTACGATTTAAGGTACACTCCTGAAGAGGTTTTGGTCTCTCCAGACTAAACGCCGGCTGAGACTGTCGGAATCGCCTCAATGAAGAGGACTCGTTCCTTTCGCCGACTGTGCCGTGCACATGTCTGACGTCATGAACGCGAGACTTGGAGCATCCAGGCTCATACTGAAGTTGTCATATGATCCCTAAACCTCAACACCCACACCCCACCCTACAACCCGAAGTCCTACATCCCTATGCTCCAAGCCCCTAAGCCTACATCCCTACATCCCTGAACCTCAAAAGCCTAACCTCTGAATCTGAACCTCCAAACCCTAAAACGAGGAAGAAAAAGCGAGAGATAGATAGACAAAGAATGTAACTCGCCGGGTGCGCGAACTGCACGCAGGCTTCGGCCTCCATGTCTCCTTGCCCCTAAACCCTAAACCCTAAACCCTAAACCCTAAACCCTAAACCCCTAAACCCATAAACCCTAAACCCTAAACCCTAAACCCCAAACCCCAAACCCTAAACCCTAAACCCCAAAGTTGGCATGTCCCCCATTATACTAGCAGTCCTTAAAAGGGAGTATAATAGGTTGTTACTATAATCCCTATTAAGGGCTGTTCGTATAAGAGGGAACATCCCAAGACCGAAACCTCAACCCAAAACCAAAAGTACTGTTTAGGGAGCACTTAGCAAGTTCCCTTCCCCCTCCGTTTCCTCATGGACCCCAGTTCTTCAGAACCCAAAAAATGAATCCCGAAAGGGTATACGGTATAAATAAATAAATAAATATATATATATATGTATATATACATACATAAATAAATACATAAATATAAATATATATATATATATATGTAAATAAATTCGGTCCTTACAGTCGTAGCCGGAGTAAGCCGGACAGCAGGTTCCTCACAACGACCCGGCGACATCTTCCTTCCGCCGGGACAAGTACCTGCAGCAGGACAGGGGGCTGGGGTGGGGGGGGCGGGGGGGGGACCCTAAACCCCAAACCCCAGACCCTAAACCCTGAACCATAAGCCCTAAGCCCTAAAGGTGGACTCCTCTATCCGAAGCCCTGGCGGTGGTGGACTCCTAAAGCCTATGCCCTGAACCCTAAGCCCAAAACCCTCAACCCGAAGACATGGCTCAGTAGACGCTCGGCGAAAAAAGAGCACCATCGTCGTAGAGCTCCGAATGGTCATGGCGCACCCAACTTCCCTCAAACCATAAGACTCCAAAGCCCTAAGACCTAAAACCCGAAAGCCTACAAACTCCAAACCACCCGAAATTTTGGACCCTAACTACCCTGAACCCGACATACGAGACCCCTAAACTCTAGGCCTTAACCCTAAACCCTAAACCCTGATCCAAGCAATTCTTTGGTGTCCTCGGACTAGTTCAGGGTTCAGGTTTAGGGTTTAGTGTTGTCTTGCTTGCTGTTTCTGGCGGTTGCTTTGCCATGATGTAGATAGGAGATGTTAGGCTCTTGTTGTTCCTGGCTGTCTTTCTGGCTCCACATGCCTCCTTGTCAGTATCAGCAGCCTGGTACAGGGCAGGCTTTCCAGGCTCTTTAGTCCGACTCTCAGGTTGAGGATGAAAAGACAACTCAGGGGGTCGAATGTTCTCCTTGTGGAGTCTTCTTCGGACCTGTTTATAGGGATTCGGGGGTTCAGGTTTAGGGTTTAGGGTTCAGGGTCTAGGGTGCAGGGTTGAGGGATTAGGGTTCAGGGTTTAGGATTTGGGGGCGCAGGTAAAGGGGGACCACCCAACCCCAAACCCCAAACCCTAAGCCCTAACCCCAAACCCTAAACCCTAAACCCCAAACCCTAAACCCCAAACCCTAAACCCTAAACCCTAAACCCCAAACCCCAAACCCTATGCCAGCGAACCGCAGGAAGTGCTCCGGGCAGCGGGTCTACCTGCGCCCCTGCAGATAGCTCCTGGGCGCCGCTTAGGATTTAGGGTTTAGGGCTAAACCCTAAACCCTAAACCCTAAACCCTAAACCCTAAACCCTAAAAACCCTAAAAACCCAAAAGCCCAAAAACCCTAAACCCTAAACCCTAAACCCTAAACCCTAAACCCTAAACCCACCCTTGGAATCCCTCTTGGGCCCCAGGCACACGGAGCCTTTTGAAAGCGCAATGCTTCAAATCCGCAACCCTTGCACCCGGAACACTCCACCCCTACATACACCCTCAAAGCCGCAAACCCAAAAACCCTCCAACTCCTTTGATGTCATGGATGCCGGGTTTGGGGGTCAGTGTTACAGGTTCCCTGGTGAAGGTTTCTGGGCTTAGGGTTTAGGGCGCTTGCTAAAGGGTACCTGGGGGGGGGGGCGGGGTTGGGGGGTTGAAGTAGGGCTTAGTGTCTGGGATTGAAAAGGTGCAAAGTCGGCACTGCTAGTCAGAAGGAGGTTTCGGAACCTGAAAGAAAACAACCCGAAATCCTGAACCCCCATTTCGCGACGTTGCAAATCCGAACATTTTACGGGCCCTGCATATTCGTTGCGTGTCTTCCTTTCGCACGAGGTTTAGGGTTTAGGAGTTTAGGGTTTAGGGTTTAAGTTTAGGGTTTAGGGTTTAGGGTTTAGGGTTTAGGGTTTAGGGTTTAGGGTTTAAGTTTAGGGTTTAGGGTCACGACTCCGGTCAGATAACGCTCATGAGGCCGGCGAGGGAAGGATCCAGCAGTTGTTAAAGGCCCAGAGGTTGCACGCTTGGGAATAGGGTCTAGGGTTTAGGGTTTAGGATTTTCCGTGGAGTTGTTCATGCAGTGTACCACGGCATATGGCTGCTTTGCAAATACACAAGCTTGCCATTTTGCGCCCGTGCACGCAGCAAGTGAAGCTCACCCCGTAGTCCTCTCGTGGCAAGGTTACTAGCGATGCAGCGGCGGCAAAGGAATTCGCCATGGAACATGGTAGAGCCACTTGGCCTTCGCGCTTGTCCTGGGCAGAACTATATCCCCCTTGGGAATCATTTTTCTTTTTGTTTATATAAATCCCAAGAGGATATTAATCACTTTTGTTTATTAAGCTTCTAAGGGGAGTATAGAGAAGCAACGGCGAAGCAAGCAAAGCATCGAAGAGCGTGAAGTTCAAAGTTCGCGGCTACTAGGCTAAGGAAAGTGCACGAGCATCCTTCTTGCAGTCTTAGCAGGCAGCTTCGCAATCAAGATGCAAGAGAGAGAGAGAGAGAGAGACTCTACTGCTTGCTTAAGCACCCCAAAAGGATAAAGGATACTAGTTCCCATATTACCCTTCATAAGAATCATTTTTTATTTTCCGGGGTTCTTACGCAAGTAGTAGGACTTGGATGTGTGTGCTTCATGCTTCAGATGGCCAGGAAGTGGAGATAGGCTAGGGAGACGCTGACACAGAGGGTGATGGGTGCTAAGCTGTAAACCCTGGGGTTATAGCTTGTGATTTTGGAGGGGTTTGATAGGGCTCGGAGTTTTGCGTGGGCTTAGGGTGTAGGGTTTAGAATTTAGGGTTTAGGGTTTAGGGTTCAGGTTATGGGGTGGTTTTTGCAAAGTGTTTTGCACCAGAAGCAAGTGCTTGGGGTTGCCAGAGCCGCACCAGTCGCTGGCCTCACGTTGCACAGTCGTTGGTCGGAGGGAGACCGTTGGTGTTTCGGTAGGCCCTTTGCCCTTGGGACATTTTGTACTTTGCCTGGTTGGCCCTAAACCCTACACCCTAAACCTCAAACCCTAAACCCTAAACCCTAAACCCTAAACCCTATACCCTAAACCCTAAACCCTAAACCCTAAACCCTAATTCTGAGGTCGTTGTGAAGCCACGCAACGCTTCGGGTGGTGATGGCGTGTGGCTTTGCGATCTCCCAGAGGAGACTCATCTTCGGCTCTTCCCTACGCAGGGGTCCCAAAACCCTCAACCCTAATCCTAAACCCTAAACCCTAAACCCTAAACCTAAACCGAAAACCCTAAACCCTAAACCCTAAACCCTAAACCCTAAACCCTAAACCCTCAACCCTAATCCTAAACCCTAAGCCCTAAGCCCTAAGAACCCCAAGCCCTAAACCTATCCTGATTCTTGGGCCCTATGCCCCCCCAAAGCCCTGAACCCTCAACCCTTGCATTCTTCCTCATCTGGAAAGCCTCCCTAGGGTTTAGGGTTTTGGGTTTCGGGACCCTAAGCCGTAAGGGTTGAAGTTGGGATGGTATGGGCTGGAACCGAAGACTGTACCCTACTTGAAACCCTAAACCCTAAACCCTAAACCCTAAACCCTAAACCCTAAACCCTAAACGCCAGGGCTTAGGGTTTTGGTTTTAGTCATTTGCGACTGAAGGTCACAGGTTTGAGGTTACGTAGGTGTTAGGGCTTCGGGCTTCAGTGCCATGCAAAGACTTGGAATTTCAGGGAACCCTAAACCCTAAACCCTAAACCCTAAACCCTAAACCCTAAACCCTAAACCCTAAACCCTAAACCGAGGGGACATTCATGGTTGGAGGGCGGCTTCGGAGGTGTTAGGGGTTCACGACTTTCGTACGTGTTTAGGGTTCAGGGTTCAGGGTTTAGGGTTTAGGGTTTAGGGTTTAGGGTTTAGGGTTTAGGGTTCCCTTATTTGCTGCATGCATCCCTTCAGTCACAAGGGGTCACCCTAAACCCTAAACCCTGAACCCTGAACCCTAAACCCTAAACCCTCACTCCTTCTCAAGACCCTTGATCACTGCCGCTCGTGAGAGCAGGATGTGGAAAAGTCCCTCGAACAGGAGCTTGGCAAGGCGCACCAGGACCTCCTCCGTGTTTGGGGTTCAGGGGTTTAGGGTTTAGGGGTTTAGGGTTCAGGGTTTAGGGTTTAGGGTTTAGGGGTTTAGGGGTTTAGGGTTTAGGGTTTAGGGTTTAGGGTTTAGCGTTTAGGGTTTAGGGTTTAATTAAGGTTTAGGGATTAGGGTTTAGGTTTAGGGTTTAGGGCTAAGCTGTGAAAGTTTCGGATGCGGGCGAGCCTCGAAAGCTTCCGTGCAAGGCGCACGAACCCTAAACCGTAAACCCTAAACCCTATACCCTTTTAACCCTAACCCCTAAACCCTAAGCCCTCTGGGTATAGCAACCCTACTCCACCTCCGGCGCCAGCAATCGCAATCGGGTTTTGGGTTTAGGGTGTCGGGTTTAGGCTTTTGGCAGCTCGGGGGGCGGGGGGGGTTTGGGTCTAGCATATCAGTTCCTAAACCTTGAACCGGAATTGTGTTTTTTGTTTTTGGCCTCAGCTTCCCACCGGCAAGTGCACGCCAACCATGACTCTTACTAGTGCCGGTTTAGGGTTTAAAAGTGGTCGTGAACTCGGCCGCAAGTCCTAGACCCTGAGCCCTAAACCCTCAAAGACGTCGATTGGGACTTAATTCGAGGGTTTAGGGTTTAGGTGGGTTGGGGTTTAATTCGGGTTTACAAGCAAACCCTCCAAACCTATTGCCAGCCATTGTGGCAAACAAACCGAAGCTGTCACCCCACTTCTCGTTGACAGCTTTGCCTTCGCATGCTTTCGAAGGAGCGCTCTTCGGATGCTATGTTTACGACATGTCTAAACATGTTTTTTAGCCGGGTACTATTTGTTTTAGACATGTCTCCAAAATAGTCTCCATGTGCATATACACCGGGTGTGTACCAGTTTGGGATGGGAGTCCTTCTGCTTCATTCGAGAATTTGGTTGTTAGCTGGTTCTGGCTCTGAGGATGCTTGACAGGCATAATAATACTTAAGGCGTTGTACGTTTTTGTGGTCGAATGTCTACCCGAAGCCCTAAACCCTAAACCTTAATCCCTACAAACCCTAAACCCTAGCCCTAAACCCCAAACCCTAAGCCCTAAACCCTCAACCCTAAACCGTAAGACGCGCACGAGGAGTTGGGTACCAACACGGAGATGGTCGTAGCGCCTGAGCGGCCAAAAAGAGGCCAACATGGCCCCAAGAAGGGTCGGCGGTTATAGCGTTTGGGTTGTATAGGGTTTAGTGTTTTGGGGTTTAAAGTTTAGGGTTTAGGGTTTAGGGTTTGGGGTTTGGGGTTTGGGGGTTGGGGGTTTGGGGGTTGGCTTCGGGTTTTGGGGCTTTCGCGGTTTCGAGTTTGCCTGCGCATGCTTAAAGCTGCGGGGGTTCGCATTCCAAAGCCTCTTCCACACCTTCAACCCCAAAGTCCCCAAGTCACCTAAAAACGTACATGTTTAAGTTCTTAACCAAGTACAGCCTAAATCCTCTTCGCGTAAATATTCGATGAAATACGGCTTCAGTTTTTCCCCCATCTTCTTAACCCCCCCCCCCGTGGCTGAGCAAAATAGGGTCTATTTAGAAGCTACCGCCTGGGATTATTAATCAATTTTAGCATATCCAAGACAACCCAGCTACTTCTCCAACAACGTCTCACGCATATGCGCACTTAGACAACTCATTTCGGACTGATAAATGTTTTGGCTCTTGCAATCTCAGACCCTAAGCCCGGAACCCTGACCACAAATTCGTACACTCTAAAACCCTACACAAGAAACTCTATACCGTATTTCCTAAACTCTAACTCCTAAACCCAGAATCTAGAAAGAAAAGGAGGAAAAAGAAAGAATCATGTGCAGACGTTCCTGTGTTCCTATCTTCGGAGTTCTTCTATTCCTATCTCTGCTGATTTTTCAGAATGGAAGGAGGGCTTCATTTTCCCTCTCACTTTTCCTTTCACTTTTCTTTTCTCACTCCAAGCAGAAGGGAGAAGACAAGGGAGAGAGGTGAGAGATAGAGAGCCCCTTACAGCTCAATAAATAGAAAGGTGACCAAAATGGATGAAAAGATCGCCTGCTTTCATTTCTAAACGGCCTGTCCCCGCCTTCTTTTCTTTGCACAGTGCAGACATAAATAAACACGAAAGAAGAAAGAGGGCCTTTCCCTACTATTTCCTTCGCTATCCTGGAATCCTGGTTCGGAAAAGAAAGGAACAGCTACCAGCCCCCCTCCCGACTTTCATCTTTCCATTTCTTTTGTTTCGTCACGCTCAAACGGACAGAAGAAGGGCGGCCTCTAGTGTTTCCTCGCCTCCTTCTGCACTGTTATAACTTCCTTTCTTTTCTCTTCTGTTGCTTTGTGTGACAGGTGCGGGGGCATTTCTTTCACTTTTCCCATCGAAGAAAGGCTCCCTTCCTATCCGCATATTTTCTTTTCTCTTCCTTCCGAAAAAGACTATAAGAGGCAGGGATAAACAGAATGAAAGAGGAGTCTCCTTTTGCTTTCCGACTACCTTCTCACCACAAAAAGGAACCCTTCTCTTTCTTCCCTTGACTTTCTTTTATCTTGTTTGCATTCTACGTTTCCCACTAAGAAAATGAGACAATGATGAAGATAAGTGAAGAAAGATCACCTGCCTGCACGCAGGTTCTCGGGAGCTTGTCTCGACCGGGCTGTCCCTCCTTTCCCCGCACGTCCCTTCGCTTGTCCCCATTGATCTCTCGCGTCTCTTCCCTTTGCACTCTCTCGCCTCTGGCCCGCCTTCCATGCTGAAAATGCTGAAGAGATACGAAAAGAAGAGCTCATGATTCTTTCTCATTTCTTCTTCTTTATTATTCCCCTATGAGTAAAGAAGAAAGATGAGGAGAGAGAGCCCTGCGGCAATTCCTGTTTTGGGCGGAAGAAAAGAAACAAAGAGATAATAAGAGAGAAGAACGAATAAGAAGGTGCCGGGAACGAAGATGGAAACTGCTCCTTCACCCTGGTCTATCGCTTCCTTTTCGAATTTTTTCGGAAGGAAGATCGAAGAAGATAGTGGGAAAAAAGGAGTGAAGTGCCCGTAGAAGGGAGAAAGTGAAAGGGATGCCCCCGCAACTTTCATATTTTGATAAGAATGCAAGCGCCAGCAGAGAAGAAAGGAAGAGAGAATAACGAGGAAAGAGCGGAAACCGAGGAGATTAGGAGCCAGGTTTCCCTGATTGATTCTCGTCACTTTTCTCTGTTTTGGGATGAAGGGCTTTATATCTCCCACCTCTCTCCCTTGTCTTTTTGGTTGGAGTGAGAAAATATAAAGAAAAGCGAAAGGAAAAGTGAGAGGGAGAAAGAAGCCCTCCTTCCATTCTGAAAAATCTACAGATTTAGAGACAGGAATAGGGGACAATATGGAAATGATTCTTTCTTATTTCTTCACGTTGTCTCCTTTCCCTATATGACTCCCTTGCGATTTCCCTTTTGGTTGGAGTGAGAAGAGACAAAAGAAAAGTGAAAGGAAAAGTGAGAAGGAGAAAGGACGCAGAGATAGGAATAGAAAAACTCAGAAGAGACACAGTCTCAGACAAGATAATTTACTGACTTGTGATTGCGTGGCTGCCTTGGCAAGAGTTGTTGCTGGAATGGCTTTTGGGAAGAAAGTCGGAGGTGCACTTTTCGATCCAGGCGTGTTTCGCGAGCCGCAGCTTCTGGCCTCCTCTTGCTTGGGCGTGGCCAAGCGCCAGGGAGCAGAAATGCTGCGTTTTTCAAGTTTCAAATTCGTTTCTGCAGTTTCAGACTAGTTGCAAAATAGTTTCAAAATCCAGTTGCAAAATCGTTGTTAAGGGGAAACTGCGTTTTTCTACGCGCAATTGCAAAACATGCAGAAGTTCTGGTTTTCAACAAGCGCGGACAGAAATTGCAGCTCCTCCTTAACAGCGATATTTCAACTGGATTTTGAAACTAGTTTGAAACTGACTTGAGACTAATTTGAAACTATGGAAACGAATTTGAAACTCGAAACACTACCATATTCCGGACTTTCTGCCCCCCTCCTGGCCCCTCACATATGGCCCTCACGCACGGGAAGTTGACTTTGGTCAGGCGTGACTAGAGACCAGAGCTTCCGAAAGCTTGCCAATCTCCGGACAGTAGGAATTGAGGAATGTGTGGAAATGATTCTTTCCTAGTTCTTCATCTTCTTTCTCCTTTCCCTATGTATGAGAAAAGAAGACAGACAAGGAGAGAGAGCCCCCTGCAATTGGGAATTTCCCCAGAAGAGAGGAAGCGAAAGGGATGCCCCCGCAACTTTCACGTTTTTGAGAAGAATGTAAGCACCAAAAGAGAAGAGAAAGGAAAAGAGAATAGCGAGGAAAGAGGCAAGGAAACACAGGAGGCAGCCCCTCCGCTTGCTTCTTGAATGAAAAAGACATCGGAGAAATGGAAACATGAAATTGAGAGGGAAGTTGCGCTTTTCCTTGCTGAAGAACAAAGCAATTCCAAAGAACATGGAAAGCACAAGGAATGTACTGGGAAAGGTAGGGAAAGGGATTCTTCCCTCTGACTTTTTTGCTTTCCTTCAATCTGCGATGTAAAGGGAAAGATGCAGCGGACAGGTCTGAAAATACAGGCAGGTGATCTTTTTTCCTTATTGTCATCATTGTCTCTTTTTCTCAGTGGGAAACGTCTCATTTTCTCAGCGGGAAACGTAAAGTGCAAAAAGATAAAAGAAAGAAAGTAGGGAAGAGTTGGAAGGTTCCTTTTTGTGGTGAGAAGGTAGTCGGAAAGCAACAGGAGACTCCTCTTTCATTCTGTTTATCCCTACCTCTTATAGTCTTTTTGGGAAGCAAGAGGGAAGAACATACGCGGATAGGAAGGCAGCCTTTCTTTGATGGGGAAAAGGAAAGGGATGCACTGCCCCCTCAATTTTCATGTTGATAAGAATGTAAGCACCAGGAGAGAAGAAAGGAAGAGAGAATAGCGAGGAAAGAGGCAAGGAAACACATGAGATTAGGAGTCAGGTTCCGGTGATTGATGTTCGTCTCTTGTCTTCTTTTTGAGAAGGTCGCTTTTGGTTGGAGGAAGAAGTCCGCCTTCCATTTTGAAGAATCTGCAGAGATAGGAATTGAAGAAATCACAAGAGACACGGATAGAGGACATTATAGACATGATTCTTTCTTATTTATTCATCTTCTATCTTCATTCCCTATATGAACACAGAACAAAGACAAGGAAAGAGAAGAATGTAAGCAACAGAAGAGAAGAGAAAGGAACTCATAATAGTGAGCAGGGAGGCGAGGAAAGACTGGAGGCAGACCTTCTTTCCGGTTGAGCAGGACGAAACAAGAGAATGTAAAGATGTAAGTCGGGAGGGAGGCTGGTAGCCGTTCCTTTCTTTTCCGAACCAAAGACAAAGAGGAAGGAAGGCAGGATAGGTTTCCGTGATTGATTTTCGTCACCTCTCTATGTTTTGAGAAGGTAAAGGGCGT